ATAAAAACGTTAAGAGAAGGTAGGTCACGGACCCAATCAGCACTAATTGAATTGCCAAGACGAAATGGATTGGAAATAATCAAAAGGAGAAGCATCAGGATAGGATGGGCAAACTGTGACATTAAAGAGAAAATATTTTTGATCAGGTGTTTCAGATGTCTGGAATTCGGACATAGAACAAATAAATGCACTTCCAGTAGTGACAGAAGCGACGAGTGCTTAAAATGTGGCGAGAAAGATCATACAAGCAAAGACTGCAAAAATGAACTAAAATGTGTAAAGTGTAAGACCATGGGTCATAGATCGGATCAGCTGAAATGCCCTTATTACAAAAGGATGATTAACGACATAAGAAATGGGAGGAAGCTAACAGAAAGAAAATTCACAGACAGAGGACAAGAGAAAGAAGTAGACGTTAGGCCAGGAGGAGTGGGCCTAGATGAGGTTTTTAAGTAGAAGCACTAAAGAGAAAAAAGAAAAAAAAACAGGTAAGGCTAGCAGAATCGGATAGCTAGCAACATGACTAAAATTCTTCAAACCAACCTGGGAAGATCAAAAGCTGCACACAACATCGCATATGCCACCGCCTTAGAGAATGAAGTTGATATCATCATCATCTCGGAACCCAATATAAATATAGCAACAAGAACATCTTGCATCATGGATAACACTAATACTGTAGCAGCACAAATAGTTAATAAAAAACTGGAACTAAGAGGACACGAAGTAGGTAGAGGCTTTGTAAAACTGAAGCTACCAGATTGGGACCTATATTGCTGTTATATATCACCAAATATTCCTTTTGAAGACTATCAATCAATACTAGACGAGGTCATGTATGACATTAAGAAGAGTGGCACGAAAGTTATACTGGCAGGAGACTTGAACTCTAAGTCTCCACAATGGGGATCGCCTGCCTGCGACAAAAGAGGAGAATATCTAGTAGAATGGACAATAGAAATAAATGCTACAATTATTAACGACGGACAACCAACGTTTGAAAGAGGTGTCTCAAGTCACACATTGACATAACGTGCGTAACGGAAAAAATGATGGGTAGAATAAGGAAGTGGGAAATCCTCGAAGGAGAATTCTGCACGTACCACCACCACATACTGTTTGAAGTCAGTGACAACAAGGTAAAGCAGAAGAGTAGTCTGAATCAAAGAAAAACAATATTTAACGAGGTGATGTATGTAGAGCATCTCAGACAAAATACGACTGAGGGTAGGTGGGGACCAAAAACGATGGAAAGAAACATAAAAGAAGCGGTTAAAAGGGCAACCAGGGTAGTTACCACAAAGAAGACTCTTCCTTATTGGTGGAACAACACAATAGACAGCCTAAGGATAGAATGCATTAAAGCAAGAAGAAACCTGATTAAACGGAATAATAAACGTAATATCAGAATGGAAAATATAGCAGACGATGAAGAGCAGTACAGAAATCTAAAAAAAGAATTAGCCAAAGCCATTAACAGATCCAAAAGGGAATGCTGGAGAGACGTTTTTCTGGAGTTAGAAGACGATGTATGGGGACAGGGTTATCAAATAGCTGCAAAGTTCCTCAATAAAATGAGCATACCCTATAGTCTAACCAGTAAGCAGAAGGAAACTTGGTGCAAACAATTATTTCCGGGAACGGAGCAAAGACGCTCTAGATGGAGAAGACTACGAGAAGGACAAGAACCTGCGAGCTTTACTGCGGAAGAACTACAAAAGGCCGCTGAATCGCTTAAACCGAAAAAAGCCCCTGGCCCAGACAGGATCCCACCCGAGGCCATTAAAATAGCTGTTAAAACGATACCCGAAAAAATATTGGAGTCAATGAATACTCTGTTACACGAACAAAGCTTCCCGCGAGCTTGGAAAGAAGCTTCAGTCATTCTAGCCTGGAAAGGAAAGGGTTTGGAAAGTGAAGCAAAATCATACCGACCAATTTGCCTAATAAATACGATGGCCAAACTATATGAAAAACTAGTGAAAAATAGACTCGAAAAGAAAATTGAACTTATGGGAAACTTCGCGGATGCACAGTATGGGTTCCGAAAAGGAAGATCAACCATCCAGGCAATAGAGAAGGTCATTGAGACAGTAAGGGGACAGGGCAAAATATGGATAGCCATGGTAGCAATAGACATAAAAAATGCGTTTAACACCGCCGCATGGCACAGGATTATGGACAACTTGGAGGATAGACAGGTCTCACAATACCTAGTAAATATAATCGATGACTACCTTACTTATCGCAGGTCCAAATTGACCGGGGAACTACCTTGAAGATGACAATGGGCGTACCCCAGGGACCGGTACTTGGGCCTACTCTATGGAATGTGCTCTACGATGGGGTCCTTAAACTTAATCTAGGAGAAGATGCAAAAACGGTTGCTTTTGCAGATGATCTGGCGATTATAGTGAGAGGAAAAAATAAAGAGGAATTGGTCCTAAGAACGAACCAGGCTGTGCACCAAATTGAGATGTGGATGAGGAGAAATCGGTTAGAAATAGCCCCACATAAAACAGAATGTATGGTCTTCTGTGGTAAACGCAAAAAAAATGACATCAAGTTTAAGGTATTGGATACAGACGTAAAACTCACCAGGCAGTTTAGATATCTGGGCGTTATCATAGATGATCATATTACATTTGGACCACACATTGAGTTTGCAACAACGAAAGCGGAGCAAAAATTAAACGCTTTGGCTAAAATAATGCCAAATATTGGAGGACCGGGGAGTCAGAAAAGAGCCGCTCTATATGGAGTAGTCCAATCAATATTGTTATATGGAGCGCCCATCTGGGTTACCGTATTGAAAATCAAAAAATATAGAAATATGCTACTAAGCACTCAAAGGAAAGCTCTACTAAGAGTTGCCAGCGGGTTCAGAACTATTTCTACAGCAGCGATTCAGATCATCACCGGAGTCCCGCCAATACATCTACTGGCAGTTGAAAGAGCCAAAATCCATGAGAGAGAAGACGGAGAAACGCCTACAGCCAAGAAAGAAGAAAGACAAGAAACAATTGTTAGATGGCAAACGGAATGGGATGAAACGGAAACGAAAGCAGCTTGGACAAAACGGCTCATAAAATACATAGACATCTGGTACAAATGCCCACATAGGAGAGTGGATTATTATATGTCACAGGTTCTATCAGGACACGGCTGCTTTGCTAACTACGCTCTGAGAATAGGAAAAAAGGAAAATGACGCATGCATCGATTGTGGACTGAGAGATTCAGCGGAGCACACATTGTTTCACTGCAGTAAATGGCAGGAAGACAGAGACAGACTGGAGCAAAAAATTGGAAAAATTGAAGCCGGGAATTTGGTAAGGAAAATGACGGACAAGGAGAGCACATGGAATGAGGTTCAGGGATTTATTCAAAAGATCATGACGGATAAGGAAAAGCATTGCAGAGAAATTCAGAACTAGGAGAGTGCCCAACACTGATGTAGACAATACCAATGTGATTCCAGTGTTGCGCATGATACAGGTGGTGAGGTTTGGAGGGTAGGCGGAGACTTGCACACAGAGAGCTCCGAGTCCCTCACTCTCAGATGCGATGGAAACAAGCGCTGGGGCCGAACATGAGTTTCCTCACCAGGCAAAAAAAAAAAAAAAAAAAAAAAAAAAAAAAAAATAATAATAATAATAATAATAATAATAATAATAATAATAATAATAATAATAATAATAATAATAATAATAATAATAATAATAATAATAATAATAATAATAATAATAATAATAATAATAATAATAATAATAATAATAATAATAATAATAATAATAATAATAATAATAATAATAATAATAATAATAATAATAATAATAATAATAAAAATAATAATAATAATAATAATAATAATAATAATAATAATAATAATAATAATAATAATAATAATAATAATAATAATAATAATAATAATAATAATAATAATAATAATAATAATAATAATAATAATAATAATAATAATAATAATAATAATAATAATAATAATAATAATAATAATAATAATAATAATAATAATAATAATAATAATAATAATAATAATAATAATAATAATAATAATAATAATAATAATAATAATAATAATAATAATAATAATAATAATAATAATAATAATAATAATAATAATAATAATAATAATAATAATAATAATAATAATAATAATAATAATAATAATAATAATAATAATAATAATAATAATAATAATAATAATAATAATAATAATAATAATAATAATAATAATAATAATAATAATAATAATAATAATAATAATAATAATAATAATAATAATAATAATAATAATAATAATAATAATAATAATAATAATAATAATAATAATAATAATAATAATAATAATAATAATAATAATAATAATAATAATAATAATAATAATAATAATAATAATAATAATAATAATAATAATAATAATAATAATAATAATAATAATAATAATAATAATAATAATAATAATAATAATAATAATAATAATAATAATAATAATAATAATAATAATAATAATAATAATAATAATAATAATAATAATAATAATAATAATAATAATAATAATAATAATAATAATAATAATAATAATAATAATAATAATAATAATAATAATAATAATAATAATAATAATAATAATAATAATAATAATAATAATAATAATAATAATAATAATAATAATCCACTCCTAGGAGCTGAAAGACCTTGCCGTGGTGGAGTGGCTCAGTAGCTCCCGGTGCTTGGGCCCAAAAAGGGACAGGCGTGGGGAGCGAAGCCAAGAAGCAGCTCAAAATGGCCGTTTGGGGGCACTGGTGGGGTCACTGATGCCGACTAGGTGACACTAATAAATACCAGTTTCAAGAACATCCGCCCGGCTAACAAAAGCAAAACGGCAAGTCCGACCCCGAAGAGGGAGGGCGAATGGCGAGTTTCCCGGCGCCACAAAACGGGGACCCGGCGGCTAAGGGACGGAAAACCCTGACAGAAAACCAAGATAGGATAATGAGATGTCGAATAGTAAAAACATAATACCCCAGGGGGGTAGGACAAATCGTCCAGAATCCCCCTCCGTGCATACGGACTGCCCCGCGGATTCTGGGGGGGGCAACAATTCGTCGAAATCGGGGGACGACCAGCCCGAATCTGGCCGCGTGGAAGTAGAAAGAATTCTTTCTGAACAGCCACTTGATCTGGAATGGACAACGAAGATAAATAAGGAACAGGATCAAAGCATTGAAGACTTATTTAGCGACCCTTTTAAAAGAAGAGACTCGATAAGTAGATCACCACTAAGGACAAAGAATCCGGATGGAGGACACTGGCTTACGCCAGCATCAACTATTGTAGCAGGTCCAACTGAAGATATGGACGAGGCAGAAAAAAATAATTTGAATGGAACACCAGAACAAAGAAACGAGAAGAAACGGAAACTAGATATTAAAGCTGCTGAGACAGGAGTCGTAAGCGAAATAGTAAAAAGCTCAGGGGATGAAATTAAAAAAGAGAGTGATAAGAAGAAAACTACGCTTCGATACGACAGCCGAGACCTGGAGTTTCTGCTAAAAAAAATTAACAAAATTAACGAGACTCTGCAAGTATTGGTGAAAGAAAATCCATACACTAAAATGGAAATAAAACAGAATGTAAAAGAAATGGAAGGACTTGTTAGGGGTTTAAATACATGGAAAAGAGAAATTTACCAAGCCGAGAAGGAAAACCAAAAAATAATTGCCAAAACAACGTGTAACTCAATAGGAGTTCAGGCAGACTTTACTGAAATACAAGAGGAGGAAGTTATTGGGGAAATAAGAAATAAACTGGAAAATGTACAAAACGAGGAAGATCTACATCTAGTTACAAACCTAAACTGGCCAGAAAACGCTTACCATAAAACAAATATGGAAATAGGGAACCCGCTAACAAGCGGACACCAAGGAGATCTTGCAATCTATACAGAAGATACAAACATGAGTCAGGGACCACCAAAAAGATTCCGAGAACGCTACCCAGAACTAGGGGAAATAGTACCACCAGAAGGAGGAGTAGACACAATCGTAGTAACAATAAGACGACCAAACGCAAAATCAAGTACCATAAAAGAAAAATACCTATATAAGATGGTACCAATCTTGGAAGGTGGGAGTGAAGACAAATATATACGATTCCTTACCACAGTGGAGGAAATGATTGACAAGGCGATCAAAGATGGAAGGATGCAAATAGCTATGCCGATACCGGAAAACCAAGATGTGACAATTACAAGGAAATTAGTAGAATATGCTCTGTGCGGAAAGCAACTCGTCCTGACATTATACACAAATAACCCGACTGGAAGTAAAGAAAACTCGAAAAATAAAGACGAAAAAGAAAAAGATGGAGTCATATTTATCAAAACAGAAGGCCAAGACTACGCAGCTATGGTAAAGCGACTGAAAGAGAACATAGATATAGGAAAATTGGGCATAAAAATAAATACAATAAAGAAAACAGAGAAAGGGGATATAATCCTAACAACTGAAGGAGGAGAAAAAAAAGCTCGATCACTGGAGGAGGAAATAAAAAATAAAGTGGAGGGATGTAAGGTAAAAATAAAAAAAAATGAAACTATCCAGTTGTACATATTAGGCATGGACATAACAACCACAGAAATCGATATTAAAGAAGCGGTCAAGCAGGAGACGGCAACGGAATTGGAGGATATAGAAATAAAAACGTTAAGAGAAGGTAGGTCACGGACCCAATCAGCACTAATTGAATTGCCAAGACGAAATGGATTGGAAATAATCAAAAGGAGAAGCATCAGGATAGGATGGGCAAACTGTGACATTAAAGAGAAAATATTTTTGATCAGGTGTTTCAGATGTCTGGAATTCGGACATAGAACAAATAAATGCACTTCCAGTAGTGACAGAAGCGACGAGTGCTTAAAATGTGGCGAGAAAGATCATACAAGCAAAGACTGCAAAAATGAACTAAAATGTGTAAAGTGTAAGACCATGGGTCATAGATCGGATCAGCTGAAATGCCCTTATTACAAAAGGATGATTAACGACATAAGAAATGGGAGGAAGCTAACAGAAAGAAAATTCACAGACAGAGGACAAGAGAAAGAAGTAGACGTTAGGCCAGGAGGAGTGGGCCTAGATGAGGTTTTTAAGTAGAAGCACTAAAGAGAAAAAAGAAAAAAAAACAGGTAAGGCTAGCAGAATCGGATAGCTAGCAACATGACTAAAATTCTTCAAACCAACCTGGGAAGATCAAAAGCTGCACACAACATCGCATATGCCACCGCCTTAGAGAATGAAGTTGATATCATCATCATCTCGGAACCCAATATAAATATAGCAACAAGAACATCTTGCATCATGGATAACACTAATACTGTAGCAGCACAAATAGTTAATAAAAAACTGGAACTAAGAGGACACGAAGTAGGTAGAGGCTTTGTAAAACTGAAGCTACCAGATTGGGACCTATATTGCTGTTATATATCACCAAATATTCCTTTTGAAGACTATCAATCAATACTAGACGAGGTCATGTATGACATTAAGAAGAGTGGCACGAAAGTTATACTGGCAGGAGACTTGAACTCTAAGTCTCCACAATGGGGATCGCCTGCCTGCGACAAAAGAGGAGAATATCTAGTAGAATGGACAATAGAAATAAATGCTACAATTATTAACGACGGACAACCAACGTTTGAAAGAGGTGTCTCAAAGTCACACATTGACATAACGTGCGTAACGGAAAAAATGATGGGTAGAATAAGGAAGTGGGAAATCCTCGAAGGAGAATTCTGCACGTACCACCACCACATACTGTTTGAAGTCAGTGACAACAAGGTAAAGCAGAAGAGTAGTCTAAATCAAAGAAAAACAATATTTAACGAGGTGATGTATGTAGAGCATCTCAGACAAAATACGACTGAGGGTAGGTGGGGACCAAAAACGATGGAAAGAAACATAAAAGAAGCGGTTAAAAGGGCAACCAGGGTAGTTACCACAAAGAAGACTCTTCCTTATTGGTGGAACAACACAATAGACAGCCTAAGGATAGAATGCATTAAAGCAAGAAGAAACCTGATTAAACGGAATAATAAACGTAATATCAGAATGGAAAATATAGCAGACGATGAAGAGCAGTACAGAAATCTAAAAAAAGAATTAGCCAAAGCCATTAACAGATCCAAAAGGGAATGCTGGAGAGACGTTTTTCTGGAGTTAGAAGACGATGTATGGGGACAGGGTTATCAAATAGCTGCAAAGTTCCTCAATAAAATGAGCATACCCTATAGTCTAACCAGTAAGCAGAAGGAAACTTGGTGCAAACAATTATTTCCGGGAACGGAGCAAAGACGCTCTAGATGGAGAAGACTACGAGAAGGACAAGAACCTGCGAGCTTTACTGCGGAAGAACTACAAAAGGCCGCTGAATCGCTTAAACCGAAAAAAGCCCCTGGCCCAGACAGGATCCCACCCGAGGCCATTAAAATAGCTGTTAAAACGATACCCGAAAAAATATTGGAGTCAATGAATACTCTGTTACACGAACAAAGCTTCCCGCGAGCTTGGAAAGAAGCTTCAGTCATTCTAGCCTGGAAAGGAAAGGGTTTGGAAAGTGAAGCAAAATCATACCGACCAATTTGCCTAATAAATACGATGGCCAAACTATATGAAAAACTAGTGAAAAATAGACTCGAAAAGAAAATTGAACTTATGGGAAACTTCGCGGATGCACAGTATGGGTTCCGAAAAGGAAGATCAACCATCCAGGCAATAGAGAAGGTCATTGAGACAGTAAGGGGACAGGGCAAAATATGGATAGCCATGGTAGCAATAGACATAAAAAATGCGTTTAACACCGCCGCATGGCACAGGATTATGGACAACTTGGAGGATAGACAGGTCTCACAATACCTAGTAAATATAATCGATGACTACCTTACTTATCGCAGGTCCAAATTGACCGGGGAACTACCTTGAAGATGACAATGGGCGTACCCCAGGGACCGGTACTTGGGCCTACTCTATGGAATGTGCTCTACGATGGGGTCCTTAAACTTAATCTAGGAGAAGATGCAAAAACTGTTGCTTTTGCAGATGATCTGGCGATTATAGTGAGAGGAAAAAATAAAGAGGAATTGGTCCTAAGAACGAACCAGGCTGTGCACCAAATTGAGATGTGGATGAGGAGAAATCGGTTAGAAATAGCCCCACATAAAACAGAATGTATGGTCTTCTGTGGTAAACGCAAAAAAAATGACATCAAGTTTAAGGTATTGGATACAGACGTAAAACTCACCAGGCAGTTTAGATATCTGGGCGTTATCATAGATGATCATATTACATTTGGACCACACATTGAGTTTGCAACAACGAAAGCGGAGCAAAAATTAAACGCTTTGGCTAAAATAATGCCAAATATTGGAGGACCGGGGAGTCAGAAAAGAGCCGCTCTATATGGAGTAGTCCAATCAATATTGTTATATGGAGCGCCCATCTGGGTTACCGTATTGAAAATCAAAAAATATAGAAATATGCTACTAAGCACTCAAAGGAAAGCTCTACTAAGAGTTGCCAGCGGGTTCAGAACTATTTCTACAGCAGCGATTCAGATCATCACCGGAGTCCCGCCAATACATCTACTGGCAGTTGAAAGAGCCAAAATCCATGAGAGAGAAGACGGAGAAACGCCTACAGCCAAGAAAGAAGAAAGACAAGAAACAATTGTTAGATGGCAAACGGAATGGGATGAAACGGAAACGAAAGCAGCTTGGACAAAACGGCTCATAAAATACATAGACATCTGGTACAAATGCCCACATAGGAGAGTGGATTATTATATGTCACAGGTTCTATCAGGACACGGCTGCTTTGCTAACTACGCTCTGAGAATAGGAAAAAAGGAAAATGACGCATGCATCGATTGTGGACTGAGAGATTCAGCGGAGCACACATTGTTTCACTGCAGTAAATGGCAGGAAGACAGAGACAGACTGGAGCAAAAAATTGGAAAAATTGAAGCCGAGAATTTGGTAAGGAAAATGACGGACAAGGAGAGCACATGGAATGAGGTTCAGGGATTTATTCAAAAGATCATGACGGATAAGGAAAAGCATTGCAGAGAAATTCAGAACTAGGAGAGTGCCCAACACTGATGTAGACAATACCAATGTGATTCCAGTGTTGCGCATGATACAGGTGGTGAGGTTTGGAGGGTAGGCGGAGACTTGCACACAGAGAGCTCCGAGTCCCTCACTCTCAGATGCGATGGAAACAAGCGCTGGGGCCGAACATGAGTTTCCTCACCAGGCAAAAAAAAAAAAAAAAAAAAAAAAAAAAAAAAAAATAATAATAATAATAATAATAATAATAATAATAATAATAATAATAATAATAATAATAATAATAATAATAATAATAATAATAATAATAATAATAATAATAATAATAATAATAATAATAATAATAATAATAATAATAATAATAATAATAATAATAATAAAAATAATAATAATAATAATAATAATAATAATAATAATAATAATAATAATAATAATAATAATAATAATAATAATAATAATAATAATAATAATAATAATAATAATAATAATAATAATAATAATAATAATAATAATAATAATAATAATAATAATAATAATAATAATAATAATAATAATAATAATAATAATAATAATAATAATAATAATAATAATAATAATAATAATAATAATAATAATAATAATAATAATAATAATAATAATAATAATAATAATAATAATAATAATAATAATAATAATAATAATAATAATAATAATAATAATAATAATAATAATAATAATAATAATAATAATAATAATAATAATAATAATAATAATAATAATAATAATAATAATAATAATAATAATAATAATAATAATAATAATAATAATAATAATAATAATAATAATAATAATAATAATAATAATAATAATAATAATAATAATAATAATAATAATAATAATAATAATAATAATAATAATAATAATAATAATAATAATAATAATAATAATAATAATAATAATAATAAATAATAATAATAATAATAATAATAATAATAATAATAATAATAATAATAATAATAATAATAATAATAATAATAATAATAATAATAATAATAATAATAATAATAATAATAATAATAATAATAATAATAATAATAATAATAATAATAATAATAATAATAATAATAATAATAATAATAATAATAATAATAATAATAATAATAATAATAATAATAATAATAATAATAATAATAATAATAATAGATATAGATAGATAGAAGGTTTATTGACCACTTTACATACTTTTCGGGTACATTTGAAGTCAGGTTACAAAAATAATTAAAATTACATTTTACAATAGACATTAAAATTAAAATTTAGAGTTATAATAGTCATTAACATAAAAATATAACATTGAAGCACAAAATTAAACGTTTCAGTAATATTAGTTACCTACTAAATTACAATAATATTTTAAACATTGACATGAACCTATATGCTATATGAGAAACATGACAACAATAAAACAATAATAAAAAAACACAACTTACAAATTAAAAAAGTATAAAAAAATAATATTAATAATATTAAATATGTTACTGTAATTCTTCAATAAAATGTTCAATACTATAAAAGCAGTAATTTAATAAAAATGTTTTTGTAAATTTTTTAAATTGATTTTCTGTCATTGAGTCAAAATTTACATGAATAAAAAATTTTCTAAAATAATTGTACAGAGAAATGTTAAGAGTGTTGTTCTTAGTCATTTTAATTCTACATCTATTAATTACAAAATCTTTACAATTTCTTGTGTCATAATTGTGTATATCTCTGTGACGACTTAAGCTATCTACATTTTTGTGTGTTTCAATCAATGTTTCCATTATATAGACACAAGGGAGAGGCAGTATTTCCAGTTTTTTAAAAAGAGATTGACAAGGAGTGTTTTTAGGAGCATTACTAATTAATCTTACTACCGCTTTCTGCAAAGAAAATACTTTGTGTACATTGACTGAGTTACCCCACAGTAACACACCATAAGAAATGTTACTGTGAAATAGCGCATAGTAAATAGACCGTAGTAAGTGATCAGGCATACAGTATTTCAGTTGTCGAATA